TAGTTGACAACAGAATAGTAGGGCCTTTCTTCTTTGAAGGAACCCTTACAGGAGAAAGATATTTAGAGTTTTTACAAAATGACCTTGTTCCAGCGCTTGCAGTAATTTTTCCTAACGATAATGACCCTGATATTCCTGATGACACCATATGGTTTCAGCAAGACGGTGCACCTCCGCACTATGCGCGCCCTGTTCGAGATTTTCTGGACAATTGTTTTCCTAGGAGGCGGATCGGCAGACGAGGACCGATAGAATGGCCCGCGAGGTCCCCAGACCTTACACCCCTGGACTATTTCTTATGGGTCTACTTAAAGTCCAAAGTGTACACGTTAATAGACAACATAGTTTAGAAGAACTCCAAAATTGTATTATAGATGAAACACATAGAGTTAAGTACCCCAGAAATAATTCATAATGTGCAAGAAGAATTTCTACACAGACTTGCGTATTGTCAAGAAGTCGATGGGTTGCAATTCGAACACTTAATTTAGGTAGAAAACTTAATGAATTGTATTTGCTTGACATAGGAATTGTTATTTTTTTAATTAATAAAATTTACGTTTTCTAACATTCAATCGTCATTTACTTGAAAACGTTCCTATGTAAGATGGCAACATTTTAATACTGTCGGATCGACAATGAAACGATCTTTCAGAATCAAGAAAAAAAATAGGGGGGTCGCTATTTAAAAAAAATGTCGATGACGTCAATACTCGAAAACAAATGACGGTTGACAATCGCCTTTTATGCTAAAATATGTATTTTTTAAATTAAAAATCGACCAGTTCGAGGATTTTTCCCAAAAACAATTTGTTTCGTTTTTACTGAATTTATTCCATACTTTAGCGCGTACTGTATATTACTCATAAAGAATGACTGTCGCATAATTGTTAGAATACATAGTATGAGAGTTTCGCGTCTATTTATATTATTATTGGTAACAATTATTATTAATTAAGGAGTATATTAACTGAAGGACTGGGTCAATCAAAGTTGACCGATCAACTTTTTAGTCGATTATTCAGATTTTGAATTACGACTTTTTAGTGTAAAAATAAATCGAGCATATACAGGGTGTTCCAATTAAACTTCCCACCTGGAAATATAGGAATTAAAAAAACAAAAAAACCTTCCATATTATTTTCAAGGGGGACACCTGATGGCGTAAGTTTTGGTGTCTTAGAAGCTAACCCTTAAACTTTAAATAACGCCTTATTTTAAAGCTTTTTCAGTTCTGCTCACGACGATATACGACTATTTAAATTTTGGTTTGGATACGACAATAAAATCATTACTTAAAGAATGAGGTAAAATATCAATTAAAGAAAGAATGTTAATTTATTAAGTGCTCAAATTGGTTTCCCTCCGCTTTCACTCATTGTGAAGGCCCGCTAGAATATCCATCGGACCAAAGTATATTTGCTCTGATCCCATTTTCTTTTATTTTCGGAAAACCGATTATGTTTAGTTTTTATTTACGGAGGCTGAAAAATTCTCTGTAAAATATTATATACCCAAATTATTTTTTGGACATTGAACAAAATATATTTGTTACACCCTCATTTTATCTTCAAAACGCAGGAATATGACGGCGTCACCGAGTCTTTGCGTTTCTTCGAATCCAAGTCAAATAAATCAATTGAAATCTAAGCAATTGACGTAAAAATGCACAAAATTAATTTCGCGATACATATTTTGCGGTGTTCTACCGACTCAGATAATGGTTTTGTTTACGTTTATCACGCATCCGCTTAAAGTATCGAGATGTGACTAATTCGTTTTATACGGATAATTTTAATAAATTAAGTACACGGGGTGTACCTTAAAAGTGTACATTTTACAGATTACCGAGTGCAACATGCTAATTAATATAGTTTTTTGCGCACTCTTTTAGTTGTGACGTCACATACGCCAAATAATAGGCAACCCCATAGTACACACTTTCATGAAGAATTTCTCAATATTTTTACCAGTAGTCCAGGCGGTACTTGTTTCAGGTTGGGTAAAACGCATATGATCGGAGATTTTTTCTTTAACGGCTTCTAAATAACATCAGAAATGATAATATTTCAATGCAAATAAAAAAAACGTGGGCTTAATTGTTATTGCAAAAAAGTATAAAAAAATAGCAAAAAAATTCATTTTTTTCTTGGATTTCTCGTCGACAACTTAGCAACTATTCGTTTTAGACAAAAATGGAAGAGGAAAAAAAGTTTTGTACTTAAATTTTGATCAAGATAGAGTTAGTTGCAATTCGAAAAATTAATTATTGTTGCAAAAATCGGAAAAATCATTTAAAAAATTGCAAAAAATGCTAGTTTATTTGTCAATATTTTTCAGACTCTTGAATAATACCTAGAATCTTTATACTTTTCCCAATTAACCTTCTTAGTGCATAGAATCATCACATCAATTTTCATCCAATTCGGTTCGATAGTTTTTACATAATAATTGTTTAATTTTTTTTATTTTTTTTAAATTAAAGAATTTTCAAAATCAAATTTCTAAAAATCTAAGGCCTTTGAATACTTGAAAATTTCACCACAAAAAGAAGAGCTCTCAAGCTTTAAAATGCTTTTTGAAAAATTCAAATCGGACGATTAGGTGAGCCGTGGTGATTGTTTAAACATTTTCGCAATTTTCACGCTTATAAACAATTGCAATAATTTAATGTTTTTTCAATTTTTTTTTATTTTAAAATATGGTTTGAAAGTACTCGGAAAGGCGAGTATTTAAAAAAAAACCTGATGATCCGCCCATTATTTTCGGAGTTATAGCCCGTTAAAGTTAACCCTTATTACAGCAAAACTATAAGGGCTGTTTTTTGAACCAATAGGTTTGTTATTCCGAGTACTTTCCAGATATAAATTTTCAAAATTTGCAATCACGGGCGTCCCATTTAAAATGTCATTCAAAGATATTCAAGACCGCGTGAAATCAATGAGGTATCAGTGGTGGGGGGAGCAAACACACAGCTACTCCGATCTGAATTCTCGAGTTCAAAATTGCGACACTCGGAAAAATTTCACTTATCTCAGCGTCTAATGGACCAATTTCGATGATTTTTTTTTAAATCGATGTCTCGCAACTAAAAAATTCAATTATCATATTTTCAACTACATTTTATTATTAATTACTGGACTTTTGACATGCCGATAAACAGTTACTTTAAAAAATGATAAATTTTTTATGTTTATTTACTTACTATGTTAATTTTCACGACCAAAATTTTTGCATGTTGCACCATGTTGTTGGTATTAATTAAGTATCCAAAAGATCCTTATACTTTTTTTTATAAATAAAAAATAAATTTTAGATAAATATTTTAAAAGTAAACGAAAAAATTAAAATTATAATTATTCACAATTTATGTGAGTAATAATTTTTGAAAGACTTAGAAATTTATCGTAAAACTAAAAATTAATACCAATTTTCAGTTGTTTATTTAAATAATTATTGTTTAAACAATTTTATAATTAAACAAACTTACTAGTATTACGAAAAATTTGAAAAGAACATTAAATTATTGCAATTGTTTATAAGCGCGAAAATTGCGAAAATGTTTAAACAATCACCACGGCTCTCCTAATCGTCCGATTTGAATTTTTCAAAAAGCATTTTAAAGCTTGATAACTCTTCTTTCTGTGGTGAAATTTTCAAGTATTCAAAGGCTTTAGATTTTTAGAAATTTGATTTAGAAAATTTTTTAATTAAAAAAAAATAAAAAAATTAAACAATTATTATGTAAAAACTATCGAACCGAATTGGATGAAATTTGGTTTGATGATTCTATGCAATAAGAAGTTTAATTGGGAAACGTATGAAGATCCTAGGTATTATTCAATTGACAAATAAACTAGCAAATTTTGCAATTTTTTAAATGATTTTTCCGATTTTTGCAACAACGATAATTATTTTTTTGAATTGCAACTAACTCTATCTTGTTCAAAATTTAATTACAAAACTTTTTTCCTCTTCCATTTTTGTCTAAAATGAATAGTTGCTAAGTTGTCCACGAGAAATCCAAGAAAAAAATGATTCTTTTCTACAAACGTCAGAAAATGACAAGGTTTGCGCATTGACAACAATATGCGAAGTGACACTTTTTTTCGGATTCTTACGTTACCATGACACCGTGCGCGAAATACTTCGCGCACTAGGGTGCGAAGTATTTCGCACACTGCATGTAAATTAATAAGAGTTTTGTATTTCAATCTTAAATTGCCGATATGCATTTTCATATTGGCGCTTCGATTTTTCCGGTAAAAGATTTGAAGTTACTAAATTGGCCGCATCTGCCAAATTAGGTGGGGTACTACTTAGTTCATCGTCACTAGCAATTTCCATTATTTTAAATAATATCTGGCACTTAAAAATTGAAGACGCGAGCACAAACGTCACTTTAAAATAATTATTATTGTTGTCAACAACAGCCACTTTGTTTCCATAGTAACAGTGAAAATTTGATTAGGAAAGACATTTTAAGCCAGCTCAACACTATTTTCTATAATAAATTAGGCATTTTACTTATTTATAATATTTTTAAGAGATAGATTTTGACGTTTGTAGAAAAAATATTGTTTGCATCTCGTGCGCGAACTACTTTGGTAAGTATAAACAAAATAACTATTTTGGTTATTTTGTTTATACTTTTTTGTAATAACAATTAAGCCCACGTTTTTTATTTGCATAGAAAAATTATCATTTCTGATGTTATTTAGAAGCTGTTAAAGCAAAAATCTCTCAAATATCGCAATATTCTGGAAATATTAGAAATATTAAAGAAGTTTCAAACCCCAAGCGACAAACTAAAAGGATTATAGAATTTTTATATTTATTTAAAAAATGTTGGTTTTTATTAGTAATTAATAATTAAAATTATAAAGAAGAGAAAATACGCTAATGATGACAGATGACAGCGATGACATTATCAACCTCAGACTAATAAATAAAGTTATCAACCGAGAATCGTTCCTTGATTATCAACAACATCCCACCTGCTGTACAATTTCAATTATGACATTTTGTTGCAGGTTGCCTAAATATGTGACGTCACATTAAATCAGTTTTTGCATTTCTAAACTTAAACTTTTTATATGAAATAGAGAAAAAATAGTGAAATTAATGCCCTTTGCCATTCCTATTTCTTATTTCAAACTGTTTCTGCCTAAATACTGATCTTTGACCGACAGATGGACAACTTACAAAATGTGCTTGCCTTTAATTTTCTTGCAATTATACAGGGTGGGCCATTAGTGTGAGAAAGTAAAATAACTCCCCTGTTATTCATAATACAGAAAAAAAGTTTATATAAAAGTTGTACAGAATCAAAAAACCTAAAGGACAAAGTTAATTTGAAACACACAGGGCGATGAATGAAAACGAGACACGCCAAAAATTACATTTTTTAAACGGAACACCCTGTGTATTTTTAAACATATGGATTTCTGAGAAAATTCTATATATGGCAATATAAATAGTTTAACATTTTAGTGCGGGGTTGCCAAGTTATGTAGAAAATTCTTCGAATTTTCGAAAAAACATGACCTCGAACAAGTTGTATTAACTTTCAACTACTAACACTTGGAGCAAAAATATTTGACAGAGTTATAGGCAAATGTTAGGCAAAGACTCCTATAATTAGCTAATATCGATATTTTATACAAGGCACTTTTTATAATATGATCATTTTAAGAAAGTACAAACTTGATTTTCTAAAATTCAAATCAAATGGAACACCCTGTATTTTACTGTTCTATTTTATTCACATATCGGTCCACTTCAACTTTTATTAAGCATGTTCTATACCTAAAATTGTTAGTTTTTAAGGTATAGCAACATTTCTGGAAAACCTAATTTTTATTATTTTCGGTCTCACAAAATGGCTCTGGAAAAAGCTGTCACATTGTGTCAACTTGTCAGTTCATAATTTATCATTCCATTTTGAGTTAATTTTATTAGTTAATATTTATTTGCGATATTCTATAAAATAATAAAAATTAAGTTTTTTCAGAAATGTTGAAATGTTGAACTAAAAATTTTAGGTATAGAACATGCTTAATAACAGTTGAAGTGAACCGACATGTGAATAAAATAGAACAATAAAATACATTTGAAAAATTTTAGAAAATCAAGTTCCAACTTTCTAAAAATGATCGTATTATAAAAAATGCCCTGTATAAAATATTGATATTAGCTAATATAGTAACGTATAGTAAAGTAATAGTAATATAGTCTTTGCCTAACATTTTCCTGTAACTCTGTCAGATATTTTTGCTCCAAGTGTTAGTAGTTGAAAGTTAATACAACCTATTTGAGGTCATCTTTCCCAAAATTCGAATAATTTTCTACATAACTTGGCAACCCCGCACTAAAATGTTAAACTATTTATATTGCCATATATAGAATTTTCTTGATTCTGTATTAACTTTTATATAAACTTTTTTTCTGTATTATGAGTAACAAGGAAATTATTTCACTTTCTCAGACTAATAGCCTATTTTGTATGTTCAATTAACTACATTTCTTAATATTCTTAGTGTACACCAAATGTCCTAGATGAGTTTGTCTTTTGCAGTATTTATCAACTTGCTTCAGTATTAATCTCTGATTAATAAAAACTAATTTTTCTTTGCTTCTTTGCGCAAAAAGACGTAGTCTGCACAACCATCTTGTATTTATTTTTCTAGTGTGACACCAACAGAGACGGTCAGATAAGCATTTCGGAGCTGAAGGAATTTCTAGCCACCAACGAGGGAGATATCCCTAACCACGTCGTCAAATGTATCCACCAGAAGTTTGACATGGACAAGGATGATCAGCTGAACTTTGATGAGTTCCTTGACATGATCAGTCATCCCACAGTCACGGAGACCTTCAAGAGAATCGGCAGCAGGTCACTAAATGAATACTTTATAATCTAGTGCAGTCGATAGAAGATTTAACTTCTAAAAACAATTTAAGAATAAGTAATTAATATCGAGGTACTTGGTTAGATCGCTCATAAAAAATACAAACAAAAATGGTGAACCTCTGGAGATTAATGAGGTTTACCTGAGTGAAAGCCACAATAGCTTTGTTCCTAGTCCATTAGAATCAGTTTCCAATAGTCAGACGTAATTCATTTGATTCGAAACAGTGAATTTTGAAACTTATGTAAGCATTAAATCGAAATATGTGTGCTGTTGACAGTTGCAAGCTGTGTTAAATTGCTCTAAGAACAAGCTAATACTGTACAAACTGGTATCTGTGTAAAATTATTTCAATAATTTTAGAGAAGTTACTTATAATGGTGGGGCCATTTTTTAAGATACCGAAGTGAAATGAAATTCAACATATTTTATTTTAAGACAAACCACATGAACGGAAATTTGATAATATTCGGAAACATTTGGATTTCGGTGTGAGGTAGGGTGACAGGGCTTACAGCTATGTTCGTCAGCTGCTTTGCAATTAATACACCAGTAAATTTGGTCCCTTAAGTTAAATTCTATATAAAATATATAAATATAAAATGTAGTCATTAAAAGGCGTAACAAATTGCATTTAATTAAGTAGCCCTTTACAACTAACAAAGTAGAACGTGCAAAACAGCGTTATTAACAAATTGTCCCAGGGTCAGGCAAAAGCCGCTCGGGGATTCGCTCTTTTTGCATTAAATTCTTACGGTAATAAAAAAAAGGAAATCACATAGGTATTCCTTTTTGTTCCCAAGATAACTTTTCTTATATAATGTCAATTGTTAATTAACTATTGGACGTACCGGATCGGGATTTTAGAAACAATTAAAGACAGGGTTAAACTTTTATTTCCAAAAAGTTAACGTTAATGAAGGGCCTGCACGAGGAAGAAGGAGTGCCGGGTTCCGCAGTGCACGAGATTTTTGTCTTTCCAGTGTGCACGCAGTTCATTAACGTCAACTTTTACTGCTACTAAAACCGTAAAAATAAGCTCTATGCAATGTAAAAAGAGCGAATTCCCGAGCGGCTTTTTCCTGACCTTTCGACAAATTGTTTATAAAGACGGACGAAACAAAAACAAAACACAAACTTGTGTCGAATAAAACAGAACTGTAACTTTTCGCAAACTTTTTGAAGACTGGCGTGTTTTGCGACAGTTGGAGTTTTGTTTTTCGGGTCCCGCTTCAAAAAGGCGGTTTTCCACTAAAAGGACAAAACAAAACACAAACTTTGTGGCGATGTTGGCGTTTTCTTCTTCCCAAAAACAATATTTTAATCATTAATGAATTATATCTATTAAAAAATATATATGGTGTACGGTTAAAGTGTTTACTTGGCTAGGATACAAACTAACCAAGTAAACACTTTAACCGTACACATACCACGAACACCATCGATGGATATCTGGGAAACCGCCCGAAGGATTTTTTTGAAATTGTGATGGCGCGATACGGACTGTGGAGCCTACCAAGCTAAAATATTTTCAAGGTCATCGTATGTCCGGTTATACCGGAAGTTGATACTAACTTTCTTATTTTAAATGGAACCCCCTGTATATTATTGCAAAAAAATTAGGGGTTTCCATTTAAAAATTTCGAGTTTTCCACATATTCTGTGGAACTTCATATTCGATCATTTTTTTTGACCACCCTGTATAAAAACTGGAAAATTTTCATGTCAAATTCGATAAAGTAGGTCTTTCTCACCAAAATGTCCAATTTGCACAAAAAATAAACCGGGAAAACTAAATTTTCCTGACAGTCTGCATCTATCAATTGCTTAAAAATCAAAATATCTCGGAAACGGTCAATCCTAAGTATGGAGTGTGCTCTATGTTTTCAACTTAAAAATGGATGATGTTTCCAAAAATGCAATAATATACAGGGGGTTCCATTTAAAATAAGAAAGTTAGTATCGACTTTCGGTGTAACCGAAAGTACGATAACCTTGAAAATATTTTAACTTGGTGGGCCCCACGGTCCGTATCACACCATCTGGTCCTTCGAGCCGGATGGTATCCAATATTTTAACCTGATATTTGCTAATAAGGCTTCAACGATAATAATTTACTAGAAGTTGAAAGTTGTTTTGATTGCTTAAGAGAATTGATGTCCGATGAAAACTCTTGAAGTTGAGCTAATTTAATTAATAAGTTTAGTGAATCATTGAGTTCGTCTACAGTGAGAACTGCTAGTAGTTTATTATTTCTATGACAAGTTGTATTAATTTTAAAACGTAAACACCATCACAATTTCAAAAAAATCCTTAGAGCGGTTTCCCAGATATCCATCGATGGAATTCGAGGTGGGACACTGTAGACACACTTTTTTTCCAAGGACTTCAGTATAAACCAGCTATAACTAAGAATAAAAAAAATCTTCTCTAAACATGTTGGCTGGTTATTGGAAAAATGTGTTCTGACTTCCTCGCGACAACCAGTGGAAAAGGACTGACAACAAAAACAAAACTCGAACAAAATGTAGCCCGCTTGATGGAAACAAGAGTTTTGGGTTTGTTTCAGTTTTGTTTTTGTTTTGTTCTAGAAAACACAACCAGGACATAAACTCAACTGTCCGTTTAGTGGAAAACCGCCATAACGCTGTTTTGCTCGTCCTGCTTTGTTAGCGTAAAGATTGAAATTTTCTTGTTTGATACGTTACTTTGGATCAATCAGAACCTATAACTACGATATTAACTTTGCAAGTGCAGATTTATGGGTGAAATTTACTTTAAGAACGTTTTAGATACTTGAAATACGTAGCGGAGTCCTCCGTAAGAAGAAAGTCCCTAAAGCTAAGAAGAACGGTTACAGATACTGGAATGTACGAAGAACAATGCACTTTCAACCTGTGCACCGTCGGCATCTTAGTGTTGTCCGTCCTTCAGATAATGTGTTTCTACGTCAACAGAGACAACTGTAACTACTGCATTAGCAACAGCACCGAATTTGATCCTTCAAAAAAGTACGAGATATGGCGTTTCGTCACTTTCATACTAGACCACTCAAGGTACGTGTCCACGTATAAAAATCCCTTAATTTCGGTATTAACGTAGAATTGTAAACGTTGCAGCGAGTCCCACTTATACGGGAACGTAGTGATCCAGATACTACTCGGGGTGCCCCTCGAGATGGTGCACTCGTGGAGGGTCCCAATGATATACTTTGCCGGGGCGATAGGCGGATGTCTCCTGCAGAGCGTAGTTCTGAAATGCAGTGCTCTGGTGGGCGGCAGCCCCGGGTTGTACGCTTTTTACTCGGCCCACGTCGCCACCGTGTTAATGGTAAGCTTCTCAGTTTTTTTTTGTCTTTCATTGTAAGTTGCAACGCTATTTTCAGAACTGGAAGGAGATGAGCCACCCCTTCGTGCAGCTCATCATCTTCGGGATACTCATCGCTTTCGACGCGATCCGGAGTTTTGTGTTACATTCGTACGACGAAGAGGTCAGTCACTTATCCCATATAGGCGGGGTCGGTGTGGGGTTGCTGATGGGGGTGATCGTACTAAGAAATATAAAGGTTACTAGGATAGAGAAAAAAATATGGTACGCGTCCGTAGGCATCCTTAGCTCGCTGGCAATTATATTTGTAATATGGACCGCATCACTGGACTGCTAAAATGGTGGATTGCTAAAGTTAAACGATACTTATAACAATGATACTTAATCGTTCAGAAATGTACTTTAGAATGTCATTTGAGATCTGCGAGAAGTAAAACATTTGTCGAATATGAAAGAATTGTATATAAATAATTTATTTTTAACATATATATTGCTTAAAAAACTTGAAAACATGTAATAATTTGTTTGAGTATAAACGTAAAAAATATCAGCTTTAATTATTGCGAGGAATAACATTTTTTGTACTTTAATCGTTATTTTGCTGTAAATATCTTTTCTAATTTATCAATAAACATATTAAGAAAACATGTTTGGTTCTATCCTTCAATTTTTCAAGTCAATTTTACCCGTAAAGAAACCTTAATTCCATTAATTAAAGTTTAAGAATGTTTCGATAATAAAGGGGGACAATTTTAAGGATAAAAATACACCCTGTATCTCGAAGACCACCATTTTAGTTCATAGGATTTTTTTCCTTAAAATATCCAAAGAATCGCCACCTTTGTTACTGGAGGGTACCTAAAGATCATCTTATACAGAAAGTACCACAAATCCTGTGGGACAAATGAACTACTTTTTAGAAATAAAGCGAAATAAAAACTTTTCAAACTTTCTAAAGTAAAGCAAACCCTTAGTTTTAACGTGTATGTGAAACATTTCGGCCAGATAATATATATTAAAAAATATACCTATAAATACGACAAAATACAATCTGCGCAGTTATAAAAAAACGTAGGTGGTTTGCACGATCTCGTAATGAAGTTATTAAAATTATTATTTCGATTTTTTCTGGTAAAAAAACATAAGGTGCATATCTATCCCACTCCTGATATCGTTGATTTACGGGGAACATACTTTCTTTAGAAAATAACTCTGTGCGTGGTTCCATATTATACGAGTGACCATCAAAACAGTATAGGTAATGATGGAGATCCACCAGATCACCCTTTGCGTTTGTGATTTCTCAATACATAAAAACGGTAGGTACTTAACAACTTGCAAAAATTTTTTTTCTGTAAAATATATAACAATAAGTCAAAATTGTATATAAATAGTTTATTTTTAACAAAGTATTTTAAAAAACTAGAAAATATATACTATATAATAATTTGTTCGAGTATAGACGTAGAAAAAATCAGATCTGAAAATATCAGCTTTAATTATTGCGAGTGATGAAATTTCTCTTTTATTTTCCTTTTTTTTGTACTTTTGTAACGAATTGGCAGAAATTGAGGTGCTCATATTTTGATAATGAGGCAAAATTTTAACTTTGTGAAACAAAACTTAAATAAAGTGAAAAAATTTTTTTCTGACAAATACAAACAGACGTTTTCTCATTTATCACAAAATTTTAATTTTCCTGAAAGCTATAGTATTATGAAGTTTAAAAAATTAAAACGTATCATACTAAAATTTAAATAATAAATCCAAAAAACACCTCATTGTATTTTGATTACGAATATAATATAATAAAAATATGTGCAACCCTTTTTGAGACATCGGAGGAGGCTACCCTTATTTCAACATTTCATTTAACATTTTCTCTTTTCCGAAATTTTTTTATTATGGGTCCCAAACTTCATTATCAAAATACAATTACTTTAATTTTCGCTAGTCGCCACTGTCTAATTTAATAATAAATATATTTTCTCCATCACCACAGTTTTTAAATTCAGTTTTACCCCAAAGGAAATCTTAAACCATTAAAACTTAATATTGTATACAAGGTGATCTTCAAGTACGTTACAATAATAGGGGCGCATTTTCTTTGGACAAATATTGCCATAAATGTATGTCTTAAAATGACGTTTCTTTTTCAAAATATTCGGTGAATGGCATCAAAGTCCTTATGTTCTCAGCGATGGTAACTCCCACTAACTCTGCCACTGGTTTATACAATTATATGCAATTTCAGTGAATTTTTGCCTATTATGGGTTAAAATGCCAGTCCGAGTTTCGTTAATTTAATTCACTGCTTTCGAGATATCTGTGAAAATGTGATATTTCCTAAAATTTTACCACCCTTTATAGTGAAACCTTTTTCTTTCTTTTTTCCTTAAAACAGTGCAAAGAATCGCTCCCTTTATTACCAAAACGTACTTAAACACCACCTTGTACGAAAAATACTACAGAAATACTGCGGGACAAATGAACTACTTTATAAAAATATAATAAAAAAAATTTCCCCGAACCTTAAGTACGCTTCCTAAAACAAAGCAGAGCCTTAGCAAAAAATGTCACAAAACACTAAGTCTAGATGTGTCTGTAAAGCATATCAGTCAACTATAAATATCAAAAAATATACATGTACCTAAAAATACTGAAAAATACTATCCGTAAATTTATATATATAAAAAAATAGTCTGAAAGATCTTGTAACGAAGTTATTAAAATTATTATTTTGATTTCTCTTAAAGCGCATAATCTCTCGTAGTGATGTCTTTTACTAAAATCTAACCTAATCCCCATAGGGTGCATATCAATCCCACTCCTGATACCGTCGATTTACGGGGAATACACCTCCTTAAGAAAGTAACTCCTCCACGCCAGGTTCCATATTATACAAGTGACCATCAAAACGCTGTAGGTGATGATGGAGATCCACCAGATCACCCTCTCCGTACGTGTAACGCTGAGATTCCTCAACACGTTGATGCCGACAAGGAGCCCAGCCAAGGCGCCTGCGAAATGAGCGGCGTAACCTATATGTTCATCTATATCCAGCACGTAACGGTTGTAGATGGCCGTCGAGATGTCCGACCCCGCAACTATGAGGAAAATTAGGAGTTGGACGGCCGGGAACGACATTTCTTTCCAGTTCTGCAACGGATTTATTCTGTAAATTAACCGGATAAGTTGTTTGAGGGTTTTTACCATTATAATGGAAGCAACATGGGCGGTGACCAACGAGTAAACGCCACCGCTAGCACCGGCAAGCTTCACCGTCGGATCGACTATGGAAGTGCCCAACGAACCGGCTAGGACTCCGGCAAAATACACGACGAGTACCCGCCACCACTTGTGCACCATTTCTAGAGGGATGCCCAGCAGGATTTGGACCAACAAGTTCACTAACAAATGGAAGACCCTACAACGATTCGGTTTTCGTTTAAAAATATTTAATTTCGTCGTTTATGATTAAAAACTCACCCAATGTGAACGAACATGTAAGTGACGTATCTCCACACCTCCCGTCTCCTGTTGGGTTCATACATGAAGTGCGTTGCAGTAGGACCAGTACCGTACTTGGTGGAATCCGCCTCCATTGCCTCGTCTACGCAAAAAAATATGATTTCGATAAGGGAGAATAAGATCATACCAACGGCGGGCGGGTAGCATGAGTATTCGTCTTCGTACTGCCCATCGGTGACGGTTCTGGTTGGGTGTTGCACTTTCGGTATTATCCAGTTGACGTACCTGCAGCATCATCGAATTCTTTATTTACCTCCAATAACATACACATACATGTATTATTTTAAACAAATTATTGCTACCTTGTTACATAATGGCCAAAGACATAGTCCAAACCTGGATTGTTTATCATGTCGTAAAACTCTTGAAAGTCTAATTTTTCGTCTCCATTATGGTCGTGCATCTCATGGATTTTTTTAACCACATGAGGTGGGATGTCGTGCTCGTATTCCCTACTTTCAATCAGATCATTCAACTCGTTAACGGTAATAAAGCCATCACGATTTCTGTCGTACTAAGAAAAAATTGGAATGGCAAAAGTAAAATATTAAAACAGCACCAATATTATCACTTACTTTGTTAAATATGTTTCTGTAGAATACGTCAGGTCTTGATTTCAGTGGAATTTGCGTGTTTTCGCTCATTTTTGTTGCCTTCAATGAACTGTTTGCAAATTCTTATCCAATATTTAATATCTACAATTTTTGTAGTCGTGCTTTGTTTTTATTATTTGATATCCATTTAAGTTGGTTATTTGTGGAATATGTTTATGTTTCGTCAGTTGTGACGGAACTGATTCATTTAGTGGTGAAAAAGGAAATAAATAATACAACATAACCTCAAATTACCTCAACTGACGTTTACTTTGTCAATCTGTGTCATAGCTGTATTTGGTGTTGCATAACTTCACATACAAAATGATAAAAGTATAAAATATAAATTACAATTTCATATGGTTACAGGTGGTTTAAGTCAATTCAAATGTAATCAGTATTACCGATTACAGGTCTCTCTAGATTACACAGCTTTATGATTCAAATAAATGATTCTAAATATCGTCGGGACAGGCCAGAGAAGTGCCGCCAAATTCAAAGTCGGCGAATTGCTAAGATGAAAAGCTTATCTTATCGCGAGTTAAAAGCGCATACGTTTGAATTCCTCAACATTTATTTAGAGACACACCACACCGATTTCAGCTACCACTCTAGTGACCAAAATGCCACGGCAAAATCTCGACGAAGTTCCCCTGAACGATTTCAACTCACACTACAGGCATATATTTGATACTGTAAGTACATAATATTTTAATAGCCGTATCCAAACAAATAAAAAAAAAGCCGGTGGATAAATATTAGCTCGCGTTAACGAAACTTTTTATGATTCACGCCCACACGATTTGTTTTATTTTCGTGGTTGAACAATTGGCTGAATTATGCGATAGTTAGCTTCTGTTTGAGCACGAAACGAAAAATAACGGGATTACAGTGATTATATACATCATTATCGTTCCTGGCTGGCGAATTATTAGATTATTATTCCTTACACGCGCGTTTTGGGTAGATACTTTATTGCAAACGGCCGAAAATAGAATAAATTTGATGCCAAGTAGTATTTTTAGTGTTATCTACATAGCGATTTTTTGTATTTGTAAGTATTCAGCGCAAGAAAGTGTTCTGTAGCTTCAGAGTTTACTGAAAACCTTTTTTAGATATTTGTAAAGTACTTTAATAAATTAGAAAAAGTCGCAGGGTACGGATAATATGATGTCATTTCTACCTTCACGTTAATCTTATCTTAATCCCCTGTTAAATATTTTACGGCAATATTGCGAGTTATAGCCGATTCCCAATACAACATTTATATGAGTAAAATATGTGGGTTTGACCCAGCGTCAAAATATTAACATATTTTATAGTCTTGATTTCTATGTATGTTACTGTTTTCCTTTCTTGTATGTCGTATACAATTATACTTGACTTTAATTTTGATGATACTGTTATATTGCAAATATGCTTTAATTTACTATGTATTTATTACGTTAAAAATAAATTCAAGACATTTCGTCCTGTATTTTTTCTCTCTATACTTACTTTGGAGGTCATTAATAATACATGGTAGCCAAATGAAAACGAAACAGAGCCATTTTCAGGAACTGCGTCAAGATTGTAGAAAAACGCTCAGACCCGTCGATTTTAGATTGAAGGGGGACATTCTTTGCCGGTATTTTTGACTCCGCCACTTTCACCTCCAAGCAAGGGTAAGCATCACCCCAAAATATTTAAATGGCATTGGGGGTTGAGTAATAATTCTTTTGAAAGCTCTTACAATTCTCTTTACAACAGACTTTAAATTTTATAACTCCGCCCAATACTTATTAAGAATTTTGATATTAAAGTTGAAACTTAGGTACAAACAATTAGTAACGGTAAAAATGTCAGTCATTCGAGTTAAGTACGCCAATGGTATAAATTTAGTATTTCTTGCGTTACCTACGTTGGTTTTTGGCGATTTGTTATCACTTTCGTAAAAAAAAACACAATTGTAAAAAACAGAAATTAATGCTATACACACAATGAACGTAAAATTAGTGGATTCCAAATTATTTTCTAGTATTATTTGGAAGCGTTGGTTGGCAGTTTATTTAATTGTGTTTTTGAAAATTAAACACTATGGTTTATTCCATTGCGGAAAGGGTAGATATCATTTCGCTTCACTTTATGAACAATAAAGGTGCGAATAGGACAGCTCAGCTATTTAATGAACAACATCAAGATCGACATGTCAGGAGTTAGTATGTTCTAGAGTTAGTAAAAAAAAATTCAAGAGATAGGGAACGTAGCCAATAAAAAACGAGAAACTGAAAAACCTATAGTTAATGAAGCTAGTGAAGTTACAGTTTTGGGACAAGTTCATCTTGATCCTACATTAAGTACGAGGCAGCTGAGTAGATAGGCTATGTTACTACGGTGACAAAATCCCATGTATTTTCTTATGAAGGTTCAGATTGCAAATTTTTGGTGAATTTTACCCCCTCCACTCCACTTTTAGGCCANAGGGTGGCCAAATGAAAACGAAACAGAGCCATTTTCAGGAACTGCGTCAAGATTGTAGAAAAACGCTCAGACCCGTCGATTTTAGATTGAAGGGGGACATTCTTTGCCGGTATTTTTGACTCCGCCACTTTCACCTCCAAGCAAGGGTAAGCATCACCCCAAAATATTTAAATGGCATTGGGGGTTGAGTAATAATTCTTTTGAAAGCTCTTACAATTCTCTTTACAACAGACTTTAAATTTTATAACTCCGCCCAATACTTATTAAGAATTTTGATATTAAAGTTGAAACTTAGGTACAAACAATTAGTAACGGTAAAAATGTCAGTCATTCGAGTTAAGTACGCCAATGGTATAAATTTAGTATTTCTTGCGTTAC